TATTGCGGCCAACATGTTGGGGCATGTTGCAAATATGTTGTTGTCACGTTGCCAACACGTTAGCCACACGTGGCAGGTCTGAGACGCAGTCTAAGGGTAGCACGAGCTGTGGAGGGGACAATACTTATACTTTGTCCACAAGTTGGTTTGTCGGTTTATTTCTTTTCGGTTGGTTGGAACTAGCTTGTTGGGCCTGTGTAACTTTTTGCAACGTGCTAACTCTTATCATGAAGTTCTGTTTTCTCCCCAGGAGTTGGTTGAGAGGGTTTTTGCCTACACACGCATACACTACAGCTGGAACCAAATATTCTCATTCGAATAATTTGTTCGAAATATTCGTCTATTCGAATAGTCGAATATACGAGAAAGTCCAATTATTTGTTTATTCGAATAGGCGAATAAATGAAAAAAGCCCTTGGCCCGTAGTAAACTACCATCAGGGCATCTCCCCTGAGGCGGAACGGAGTTGATATCTTGGCGCCTCAGTCCAGCATCCGGCGGGCTATTGATCTGGATGCAGATCGCTTCCTGGACATTATAATCAAGTGCGTTCTTGAAAAAAGAACCACTTGAGCTGGTTTGGTTAAATGGGTAAGCCATTGGAATTACACGCGCGTGGCCGTGGTTCAATTCCGCCTAGCGACACATCTTTTGCTGCATCGCCGGGCAATCTTTGATAGCGGCCACTATCCAATTGATGATGACCGCTATCAAGGATTTCGCCTAGCAAACGTAAAGATAAAACAAAAAACATTTCGTTACGAAAATTTTGCGACCAAACGAAATGGTTGCAACGTGAATTTAATAAAATGAACAGCTGAGTCCTCGTTTTGGACAGCTTCAAAAAAAAAACCAGTTAAGTTTACAAAAAAGAGAAGAATTTGTTTTTTTCTGTCTTACTCGCCAAAATCAGCTGTTCATCGATCCTCTCCTTTTCGGGCGCGGTTGTGCAACTTTGCGCCGATTTTGTCCGCAGTGTTAGGCAAATTGCTGTGTATCGTAAGTTACTCAGGAGCAACTTACGAAGATTTTCTCTGCGTTTCCTCTTTAGCACACTATTTCTGGACATCATCGCTCATATCATCTCCCATGACCCGGCAGGGAGATCATCTCCCTGCCGAACTTCACCTGAGGCTCACCTCTCAGGTGAAGTTGCATCCCTATAGAACGGGGAAATGGGCGGTCGTCATTTTACTGGCAGAACCTCACATGAAGGTCTCAGGGGAGATAATTTCCCATGACCGAGCTTTACTACGGGCCCTTATCTAAAGAACTCGTTCATGCGGCCATTCAGAAAAACTCAATCGAATACGAATACTCGAGGACTTTTAATAAACAATCACTTGAATATTCGAATATTCGAAAAGTTTTGGAGAAAGTTGTTCGAATATTCAAATATTCGATTATTGCGTCTGAATATTCGATTACTGCATTCAAATGTTCGAAATCTGCATTCGAATATTCAATGAAGTTCAGTTATTCGTTGATTCGAATAGTCGAGTATTTAGGCAAGTGGGGTTTTCCGAAAATTTGAAAGTTCGTATTTTAGAACGTGTCCATATTCAAATATTGTCACGCACTAACCGGGTTCGTTAGTGCGAGGGCGGATGTTCAGGTGGCGATAGAGAGAGTAATAGAAGTATTTATTAGAAGACTAGAAATAGCAGACAATAACAATGACTAAAACAACGGCCGGGCGGCCTTATTTATAGCCGCCACGGTACAAAGTACATGGTCAAGATCAAATTCAATAATCATTGCCTATAGGTGCCACGGCGTCCATCCTTGACATGCTCCTCCGTCGGTAAGAGTCGTCCCGACTCGTGACTTGTGCATAGTGAGGATTGGCAACTCTCGCGTTTTGACCCTTGGAGACCAGGAAACTGACGACAGGTCTTCTCCCACCTCCATAGAAAGAGTGCTGTTGCACTATTGATGGCCGACTACCACCTTGGCTTCCCGCATCGTGGCAATTATCTACCAAAACAAGAGGTTGTCCTTGCATCCACCTACGACTATACCTGAAAATAGAATTAAGGGGTCTAATGCGATATTTGTGGCTCTTAGTGCGTGATTCAGCACCAGACTCGGTTGTCTTCACGTCATTTCTTAAGCTAGAGCATTGTAAATTTCGATTTAGTCGATTCCTGACGGCTTTTGACTACCTGCCTCTCTTGGCTCTCTTGAGCTGTCGCTCTAGGGAGCGCACAGGATTGCAGATCCTCGTGTTCTCCCCCGCCACGGTGAGCTTGGCCCCTGCCAAATTAACGTCGTGCTGAAAGCGACCGCTCTTGTCTTTTGTACTCGAGGCTACTTTACAGTTCGCGACCTCTTCCCATACTCCTTTACGACTAGGAGACATTTCAGTTCTTGGTCTAGTATACAAAAGCGGTGCAGTCTCGAGCTGTTTTTTCCGCTTTCTCCGTTTTCTTGGAGCATCGACTTGGACGAATTTTTCGACAACTGCCCTTTTTGTGCTACTATGAGTGTTCATAACATCAATGATAGATGGCCCAAGTTGCGGTAGCGCATTTGCTCCAAGCACAATTCCGCCACCTCCTCCCTCTCTAACGAAGAAGGCTACTCTGTGCTTGGTGCCATTCTCGACTTGCAAGGTGAGCTTCACCGCTCCCTTGAACTTTATCCGTTTCCCGGAGGCATCGTATGCGGAAGGCAACTGCTGAATCGGGATTTCTTCAACGTCAGCATTCAGATCAAATCCTTTCTTCATGCTCGTCATTAGCAGTCTCAGGGGGATGATGCTGATTTGAGAGCCTGTATCTACCATAGCTCTTCGAGGCAATCCCAGCAAACGTACATCTAGCACCATTTGCTTCCCAAACAGCTGATTCTTCCTTGATCGTGTCCTTGCCGAGCTGCAAATACATCGACCCAAAGATGCCGTAAAGTTACTTGGGCACTGTTCAAGTTTCGCTGACTGTGAGGTTTTCCTTTTGCCACACTCGCGACTATAATGTCCTGGTTTGTTACAGTTGTAACAGCGTGGCCACCTTTTGCAAGATGCTGCCAAAGTATCTTGCATAACGCAATTTTTTCCACAACTGGAGTCTGGCTCTCGCTAACGGATGTATCCGCATGCATTTAGCACGACTTGTTCCGTGCTTTGTTGCACCGCCACAGCCAACTCCCTGCTACATTCGCAGGGCAGCGCCATAGCTTTCACCAGCTCATACGCGCGTTCCCTCGGCGCTGTCTCTACGGTGGTGAACATCTGGAAGTATTCAGGCCAGTCCCTCAACTGCAAAACCAATTCTGCAGCTCTTATACATGAGAGCTGCTTGTCTGTGGTGTCTGGGTACACTAACCGCGTAAGCCTCTCTAACTCAAGACAGAAGGCTGTAATGTCCTTTGTCATCCGCAAATGTTTGAGTCGTACATACGCAGTTATTTAATCAGCAGACTCATTTATGCTCCATGTTTTTCGTAGTGCTTCTACAATTTCTTCGAAGGTACTCTCCCGTATCCTTGCTGATAGTGTTTCGGCCACTGCCTTAGGATATCCGTCCAATTTAGACAGAAAAAGATGTACTAACATATCGTTATGCAGTCCAAGTCTACCATAATTCATTATGAATCTGCAAACAAAATCATCGAAGTTCCTTCCTTGGGGATCTCCATAGAGCTCAACCTCTGGAAGGGCCATTGCTGCCAACACCTCCGCAATATCTGCCTGTGCGACCTCACCCTCGGTCGACGGGATTGTATGCGGAACCCTTTTCTGACACTCCGGCATTTTCTGCATGGTGTCCATCGGCTTCTTCGATGAAAACAATTCAAGCTCGATATCTGTACGAGATAGAGCTTTATTTAAATCCAATGTTCTGTGCTTCACCTGCAGCACAAATTCAATTTCGATGATGTATCAGCTCACGGTACACACGCGTATACCCCGCCTCCCTCTAGGCTGGGTCTTGCGGTGTAGCTGATACAAGCCACAAAGTATACCCCTTGACTAAGAGGGACCTGTCAGTATACGGTACACGCGCCGCTGCTGCCTTGTAGAGGTAGACCACGGCGGTGTAGCTGACACCCTCCTCCGGTCCTCTGAGAAGGCTCGATGTGCCACACAACGAGCTCCTCTTTGAATCGGGGATATACACTGCCTCTGATATAGGCAGGATACTCGCCTTTTCCGCTTACGCGGTCTTATCGGCGGGGTTGGGTTGGTTCGGTTCGGCCCCCATGTCACGCACCAACCGGGTTCGTTAGTGCGAGGGCGGATGTCCAGGTGGCGATAGAGAGAGTAATAGAAGTATTTATTAGAAGACTAGAAATAGCAGACAATAACAATGACTAAAACAACGGCCGGGCGGCCTTATTTATAGCCGCCACGGTACAAAGTACATGGTCAAGATCAAATTCAATAATCATTGACCGAGAATAATTTCCGTTCATTCGAAATTTTTCAAAAATTAATTATTTGATATTTATTCGTTCGAAAAATTTTCGAAAATCGATTATTCGTTATTCCTTCATTCGATGTAAATTTCCGTTCGTTACAACTATACCATACATCTGCTTCTTCCATACACAGTTGCCTATGTCGATTAATCATTGAGCACTATTGCTGCGAGCAGGTGTAGGAATAGCGCATTACCGTAGTCAGCGCTTTTCCTACACAGGAGGCATGAGACAGACTCCATTGTGCTTTTACACCAATGTTATGAATTCATATACGCTTTAAACAAACCTAATCCGTTCTATTTTGACTTTTCAGGAGCTGAACTTGAGCTGACTTGAAGTATATCTTTGTTTCCTCCGTGACTAATTATGTTTCGAAACGTTTTCGCTGATTGTTCAAATGGCACGCCTTGTGTGTATAACATATAAGAATAAACACTATAATGATTGTAGCGCCTTTTTCTCGAGTTACGGTGGGTATACGGTTTTTTGCATGTTTTTTTCCTATACTTTAAGTCTGCTATAATCGAGTCATGTTTATAAAGTGCTTAGGAAGGTCTTCGTTGAAATGCGTGGTGTACGAAATTAACAATTCTTTGATCATTTGACTAATGTTCATTACTGTTGCATGAATCTAATTATTCGGACAGCAACAACTGTTTAACTAGACAAACACAAGAGAGATGCACAATACAAAAAGCTGCAGCGAATTCCTGAAGAAGCGGAACTGATGTAGTCATCACAGCGAAGACCACCAAGCATCTACATAGAAAATGGGGGTGCTTTCAACACGCTCTAGATCACCGAAGTCAGAAAACTCGAGGTTTTTTCCACCTTTGTCGTCAATCACAGTAACGTATCTGGCTTCTTCCTTGCATTTGTATTCTGCAACTGCATACGGTGCTTTCTCATGGTAATCAGCGCAAACTGAGCCCCAAGCAGGATCATTGCTAATGGTGTAACGCCAGCTTTTGCCTTAAATTCAGGTTACAGTGAATAAAGAGCTCACAAAAAATCTTACCTGTCAAATATCTTTTCAAGTGTGCTACCTTGCAACCGATTGACTCACTGGTTAAGTACTGTGGTATGCTAAACTTGTACTATTTCGCTCATTACTAGTTTGCAAATTGCATAAAAACAGACTCGTATTTGCGTATCTTATCCGGTGCTTCAGTCAGATCCGTCTTCGTCAAGATTATTTTCTCATTTTCCGAAGTTACGACATAGTCGTTGCATACCTTTGTCTTAATCGTGGGTTTAGGTTTTGATACAACTTTAGTTGGACAAGATGATTCATTCTCATCAAAGGAATATGCGAAAGCTTTGTTGACAGAGTTTAGCTCCTGCACTTCATTACCATGTTTGAAAGTTCTGCATGTTTCCTGTAATTGGACCGCCATAAACCGTTTTATAGCAAAATCTTATGAACCTCTTATAAAGTAGTACTACTCGTTAGTTTATATCCTGGAGTACCACATTTTTGCTCGTTATTAATTTACACCGAACCTCTTACCTCATTTTTTTTGAAAAATACCTGATTGTAGTCCAGGAAGGTGCATTCCATATCCGCGGAGCACTTACTCATGCATTCTATCTCAGTAATGCCCTTGAATATGGCCTTCAAAGATGCTGTGAAATTGCTTGTCACACTTTTAAATGTGCAGTGCAAGCTGTTGTTGATCTGGAATATCTGGATCATGATGCGAACAAAAGTACCTATGGAAGCTAACCAGTGCGTAGAAGAAGGCGATCCGAACCCACTCCAGCTTTGCTTGCAGAAATCTCACCTTGTTGGTCAGGCTGCCGCGGTCGAGACTTCTTCGCTACTGAGTGCTCCATCTGTCTCCAAGTCACGCCCCTATTCCTTTCAATACGAATGAAAAGGGCAATGAAGCTTTACTTTGGCCAATGAAGAGTTGGAGGTCACCAAATCTCGCCGTAATGTTACGGTCTGAAGAACACCTATTGCGTCATATTTTTTGAATTTAGAAAAGCTGATGTCTGCTGTAATGTTTCCTTTACCTTAGAAAAGCTTAGCTAAACACATTAGAGCTAACTTTCGTATAAAAAAGCGAATTGCAAAAGCTCTTGAGTATACGAATGCCTTGCGCGTAATTGTCTAAAATTACAGAATGCAAGCAGACCAACAGATTCATTTCATCTTGTAATCCTCTTATCTTTGAACCTGGGCATGGTTTCTCTTGGTATGAACAATTCCAATTACTTTGCTGTGCCGTATACAGGTTAACAACCTGTATACGGCACAGCAAAGTAATTGGAATTGTTCATACCAAGATTCATTTCATTTGTAGAAGACCGCATTAATCAGCATAATGATTGATTTTTTTAAAGAGGAGAGTTCTGTGACGGTCCCAAGCGCTCCACTTACTATACAACTTGTAGAATTCGTTTAGAAGAAATTGTAATTTTTCCAAACAGTGCAAGGTCACACTTTAGAAGATTTGAACGAAGACGCTAAGGTAGAAAATAAGGCCTCGTTCAGCGTTTTTTTTTTGTTTTTTTAGAAGTTCACGAAAAGTTAATCAGGTGCGCACTCACGAGCAAAGGATACCGAATCGTAGTGGCGCTTAGCAAAGAGATTTACATCATTATGGTCATTTCTCGACGCTGATAATATGCCTGCTTTCCGAATTTGCGAAGCGTTCTGTGAAAAAAGTAGCCCATGGTTCTGCAGATTTTTCCCTATCTACAGACGAAAACGAGTAAATATGCATCATCATTGGTCAGAGAAGTGTGTTGAGCAGACATAGCGGGAACTACTGAAATTCGCTGTTTGAAATGATATTAGGATGAAATACGAAAAGTTTGCAAAAAACGCAAAAGCGGTACGCACCCATGGGACTTGAACTTGCACCTTATGTCTGAAAATTAAGCAATCTCTCAACTGCACTGTCAGCGTTTCTATTAGTGTTCCCTCATCACTCATGTTCATTCGAAATCAAACATAGCCATCTGAGCCCTTGTTCGAGGTTTAATAGAGATAATTGTAACAGTTGTTGAAAACTGTGCAACCGTCACATACGGTTTTGGAGGCGAGTTATATAGATCAAAAGTCGTCAATACAAAGTTGCTTCAAACGAAAGAAGCAGAATATAGGCGTTTCCACCTTTGCGTCAACATTTGAAAATCTTCAGAGTTGTCAACCAATGATAATCATGTCACAAGGGAAGGATACCGAGACGCATGGGCTTTCGGTAATGAGATATACATAAAGGCCCCTTTGATACATTGATAACATATCTGCTTTCCAAATCTGCGAAGCGGATCCTTGAAAGAAGTTACGGACTCCTGGATTTGCACTTTCTACCTGTCTACGAATTTTATGTATTTCTTTTGTATGAAAAACGAAAAGTGTTAGGTTGGTACAAGATACATTTTTGACTACTTTGAATTTAAGCAGCTTTAAGTTTGAAGGTCAAGGTCATTTATTTATTTATTTATGTATTTTGTGCATTCATAGATGCTCCTGACGAACTGGTTAGTGCAAAAAAAACGAAACAGAAAAAAACAGCCAATTATAGACGGTGCCTCGGGCAGCCATAGCGGATCCAAATGCAAAAAACAGCTTAGCCCACTAATTGGCATACATCATGGTGTGAAAGCCATAAGCGTCACTTTCAAGCTAATCTAAAGAGGAAACACCAAAGCGAATGGGCAAATCCATGCATCCAATCCATCCAGTCCAATCCTAGGTCGAAGCTCCATGTCTGATTGCAGCAAAGACCGTCAGATGCAAGTAAATCTTTCGCAACTCGGTGCCTACTCATGCTTTGATACAGTGCTGGCTAAAACTATAGATCCAATCTAAAAACTACCGCAGTTCGTCTGCTTCTCAACGAATTGATCTGAAATTTGATATAGTTGTGTTCGAACAGGCTTCCATCAGTGACTAGAGCGGATCCCGCTTTCGCTAGATTAGTCAGGAAAAAAAATCAAAGATTTCGAAAAAAAGCAGGCTCGAAGGTTGGCCAAAACTATAGATCCACCTAAAATTTCTGTCTACTAAAGTAATTCTCGGCTTCCAAAGTCTTTTGTGCATATACATAGTTGAAAGTCAAAGCAGTGGCTTTAATCCAACTGTGTCTACCTTTATAAGAAACGCTTATCTGCTTTTTTTCACTTTTCTCACTTTTTCACTTACTTTTATGCGTATTTTGTTCCCGAGAAAGTGTTCTTATAGAAGATTCTGCAATTTTTTGACTGGTTCGAAAGTGATAGGGCTCAACCTGTCTTATAGATTCTTAGCAGTGTGAGCAGTAGAAGAAAATTTGAGTTTTTATATCCAAAGCGCACCCAATATAGCCTAACCGCAGGCCTGCGTTCAAATTTATGCCTTTAAACACTTTTTGCAATGGTGTCATGAGCGTGAACTGGAGTAATGGCATTGTTAGTATGTATGAGAGTCCGTATGCAGTGGTTGCAGATTTCTGCAGATCTTATGCAGGCTAGTTGAGGACTTCATCCTGCAAAAAGTGATTTGCAACAAGCCTTGAAGTTATTTCTGGTTCTGACCATAATGCTTATGTGAGTCACAAGGCAACATACAATACAGGGTGTGTTCACTAGTTACCAGCTAAATAGTAGAAAATTCAAGGAAGGTACCACTTGGTAAGGCAGGCGCTATACTCCTCGAGGAGTATAGCATGGCGACGGGGGATCGCCAGTCGCTACGACTAACTACTGGCGACTGTGTCTTCTATGCGTATCGATCGCTAACAAGTTACCACACGTAATCGATACGCATTTAGTGTGTAGTTGACAACAACTGGCGTCGCAGCGACTGGCGATCGCCAATCGCCAAACAAGTTATCACACGTCACGTTACGTATCAAACGTGTAGTCGCCGATATTGGCGATCGCCGGTCGCTACGACGGGCGATCGCCAGTCGCTACGACTGGCGATGGCCAATATCGGCGACAAAAATCACCAGTTTTACACGTATTTGATGCATATCGATCGTCCATGCTATACTCCTCGAGAAGTATAGCGCCTGCCTAAGTACTTTGAGATTGTCGAACACACTGCAAGACCTTTGAAAAAGCTATAGCTTACAAACATCTTTCTATGCAAATAATGCTAAATAATGCTTCTACATTATTTTGAGCTTACAAAAATAGCGTACACGAATTTTTAAGACAAAAACTCGAGCGCGGGCCTGCGGTTAGGTCTATGTCGGGTGCGCTTTGGATATGAAAACTCGAATTTTTTTTACTGTTCACACTGCTAAGCATCTATAAGATAGATGGTGCCCTATCACTTTCAAACCAGTCGAAAAGTGCGGAATCCTCTATAAAAACACATTCTCGGGAACAAAATACGCATCAAAGTATTTTTAAGTGAAAAAAAGCAGATAAGCGTTTCTTATGAAGGTATGACGCAGCTGGATTGAAGCGACTGCTTTGACTTTCGACTATGTATATGCACAAAAACCTTTGGAAGCCGAGAATTACTTTAGCAGACAGAAATTTTACGTGGATCTGTAGTTTTGGCCAACCTTCGAGCCTGCTTTTTTTTTCGAAATTTTTGATTTTTTTCCTGAATAATCTAGCGAAAGCGGGATATGCTCTAGTCACTGATGGAAGCCTGTTGATCACACAGCTGTACCAAATTTCAGATAAATTCGTTGAGAAGCAGATGAACTACAGCAGTTATTAGGATGGATCTATAGTTTTGGCCAGCACTGTATCACAAGCAGATGTAAACCCTGAATTGGAGAACGAGGCTTCTTTGAAAGCTCTTTTTTTTTATCAAATTAACTTCTTTGGGTTTTGTTGATATTTGTTTTGGTACTGGCTCAAAAATGTTCGTTTTTTACCCTTTTCCTTTTTCATCAGACTTCGTTTTTTGGTATAAATTTAGTACATTATTTGGAAGCTTTCCTTAGGTACTTGTTAACCGTTGTGCAACTAGACTTTTATCCTCATCTATGAAAAAAACAAGCATTTTGCACAAGAGCACTCAAAAATTGGAATTTCGTTATTTTCACCATTGGCCGCAAGTCAGTCACAGAAGGACAAATTCTTTTGTAAACATAGCTGGTATATAGAATATAATGTTTACCTACTGCATGCTTGATTGTTATTTTCAGAATTTATTCGGCTGATAAATCGACGCAACTAGAAACTCGTTGCTGGTCTTCTATGGGTCAAAAGTTTCTTCTAAACAAGCCAATGCTTTCATTTTTGTAAGGATGAGATTGATATCTTGCTTACAACTTCTGTAAAAAAAACTTAGCTGTTCAGTGCTTAAAAAGTTACAAACTTTTATAATTTGGGACTTTCAGGCCTACCACAGATTAGAGTAGCGATAAAAGCGTAGTCAAGGTAAATTCTGTTCCATTAGCTTTGAAGGCACCGTCCACCCTAAGTTGAGGGTGTTGAGCTTCTGGCGGCATATAACAGTAGGGTCTCCTATCAAGCCAATGCCCAAGTCGCGGCGCAATATGCCGCTTCGGAAGGGAGAAAATCGCTTCGGAATAGCGAAGATGCACGAGGACCCCCATCCATGCCCGCCCCTCCCCATCCATGCCCGCCCATTTGTGCGCGCTCATCCAATCACCGTTCTGAAAAGCCTGCCTGTGGGCTCTCCGGAATGGGGAATGTCGGGGTTTTTGCGGATTCTCGTCTTCATATTTGGAATCAGGGACGCGAGAAGGCCCTGAAACGACAAAAACCTGGAAGTCGAGAATTTGGGTGGACGGTGCCTTTAACTAGTTAGAAACAACAACAAATATAATAACACGCAGCTGGAACATCTTTCCTCATCAGTAAAGCTTATGCCGTTAGCATTCGATATCCGAGATCTGCATAGACTTCTG